AAAGAAACAAATTCTTTCTGTGTAAATTTGCGGTTTGCGAACATTGTTGTGCATCAGAATCACCTGACCCCGTAGTTAGGGCTAGAGTTTTCCTCAGTGGTTCTGATGAAAACCAAAATTTGAAAATCAGTGCTGGAGGGCAGTGGGTCTCAAATTCAGTTGTCCACTACAGTGATCTACAAAGTTTTAAAACACTCCAGCCCAGGCCTCACCTGCAGAGACAGTGTCCGGTGGCCGGGGGAAGACCTGAGTGAGCACAGGTATTTTTTAAAGTTCCCAGAAGACTCTAATGGTCAGCCAAAATTGCAAGGCCCGGATAGGTGTCTTTCTGCATCAATCAGGCCAGGATGAATGATAGGTGTGGCAAAGAAGCACAATCCTTCCAACAGCTGAACCCACTGGTCAACATCAAACTCCATTTTGAAAGAAGGTCCCACCTCCCTGATGTAAGTGGCATATTTATAGCCATTTTTTCTGCTCCTTGCCAGGCCCAAGACATTGCCAAGTGCTGTGGAGCAGCTGCTATGCTGGTCTCCAGGTGGGTGAGAGGATTCTGACACTTAATGTTCACAGAACACTAAGTCAGAATGCATCATATATGTATACATTAGTATCACATAATAATAATAATGAGGCTCCAGAAAACACTTACTAAAAATGGTTTGACTTTCAAAATGGCCAAAATAGTTTAATTTAAGGGTATATTACCACTCTTGTGTCAAGATCTGTTCATGTGCCTTCTATTGACAATAATGTCAGTTGTGAGATCTTATTCAGTAGATGTGGTAATCAAGTGGTACATTTAAAGGGGTATTTAAATAGTGGCCCACATATCAGTTGGGCAATATTTTGTTTCCAAGGATTATTCACCTGACTCTAAATGTTAAAGAACTAAAATTAAGTCATTGCTGATTTTTCTAAATTCAAGTCAAGGATGTTTTTCCCCTTGTTCTTTCTACTTCTAAAATTTCCAAGTGAGCAAGGCAGGGAACAATAGTCTCCTTCCTTTTTAAGTTGAATGTACTGCATTACCTGAGCCCATGAAGATGCCAGAAGCAAAAGCTCGAGGTATCTTAAGTGCTGTGGGTGAGGTGGGAATAGAACCTCAGGTGTCTTCATGATAAGAAGGCAAGAATCTCAGTGGGTAACCAGGTCTCTAAATAAATGAACACATACATACATAACAAACATAGAAAGTTGAACAAGCAGTTTGTCAGAAGAGAAACCATGTGGAGCTGTTCTTGCTGCGCCGGCACGTCTGGACACTGGCCAGTTACTGAGGATCCAGCACCACTCTACAAATAGGGCCATCTCTTCAGACCTCCTCCTCCTCAGCAGGAAGAACGGGCCCCCTCGTACCACCTTCAGCAAAGGGGCACAGAGGGGCTGTGCCCAAGAGAGATATGTGGACTGGGATGGAAAAACCTTGCCAAAGTGAAGCTGCTTATGAATCCACCTTGCTTGTTCTCCTTCTCTTTCTCACAAATCTGCTTTTTCTTCATGTCTGTTCTATTCTCCTCTCATTACTGACATGCCAGTGCAACCCAAAAATAAATTGTCCTGGTTGGTTTGGCGAGTAGTTCTAGTGGTCACTGTCGTGAGACCTTCATACCAGTGATCCCATGAACTACCTGCTAGCCTGCAGATGGGATCCTTGGTCCAATTTTGTGACTCTCTCTGAAAAAAAGAATGGACCAGCCCTGCTTTTTGAAGCATGTCTCTACCTATGGGTGAGGTAGAGTCATCTAGAATGGAAATTGGGTAAGCAGGCTCCACAATGAATCTCCTTAAATCCATTAATGTTCTTTTACTAATCCTGCTGCTATCAACCAAAGAACACTGTATTCTGTATGTGCTTTTGGTTTCTTGTTACCTATGGCTACTACTGCCTTGCTGGCCTAACTGTCTGCCTTCTTTTTTCTGTAAGTCTTGCATATTTCTTTTTTGTATCTCAACTGACTTTTTCCACACTGGCAGTTCAAATTCTTGATAAAGAGGATCTGGTTGATTCAATGTGCAATTATTGGCCCTATTTGGCACATGGCTCTTTTAAGTCCACCCCTTAGGCTACTAGTCAATTAGTCAATTTGCTCCTTGGGTTAGGTGCCCTCTGCTGGTCCAATCGGCTATGTCCAAGGTGGGGTGTGGTGTCACACTGGCACCTAATACCTTACTATCTTCTCATTTAGCTGGAACCCTGGAAAGGACACTCATAAGGGAACTATAATAACCAGTGTTCTTATTTGTGGATAACAAGATCTACCTAATTTAAGGTTTAAAAAAAGTTTTAGTGAAAATTATATAGCTTTCAAAATATCCGGTAGAACCAGAAAACCATGCTTGGACAATTTATCATCAGTATCAGAACACCCTGGGAAATTATCCAATCACTGAGGACTGTTCCAGAGTCACCACTGCCGCCAAACTAGTGCTGCTTGGTGCCACTTGGTGGAAACTCTAGAAATTCTGCCCTGGCATCCCTAAAGGACCAGATGTTTCTGTCTTTGGGCTCTCTGATGATCAGGTCTCCCCTCTGGCATCTGTTGCTTCATGGAGCTCATCTCACTTCCAAGTCTCACAAGAGGGTATCTTTTTGGCAGCAGTAAGATACTGTGCAAAACCTTAGCTATGAAGGATTTGGGGAACTGAAGGTTTTAGTTTCCCAAGTATCTGGGATTTAACAATCAAGCTAGACAACCATTTTGAGTGTGTACTCAAAGAGCCAACTACAGAGTGCACCTCCAAGGAACTCTGAGATTTCAATGTTCCTGTATCCCTCATTCACTCTTTAGAGGGCACTGTAAGATGTAAACAGTTGTCCTTATTCAGAGAAGTACTCTCTTGCTGGTCTCCTTCTAACAAATGTGGGTTCTCTTCATTAGCCAAGGCAAACTTCTGGTTCATTCACTGCTTTCTTCATGCCTTTGCTGAAATCTGTCTTCCATTCTTGGAAAACTCTACTATTCTTTACCACAAATATGTGTGCAACCCCAGATTTTAAAAGACAGCTTATTTCTCACTTTCCTAAGTAATACTGTTATATCGTAATCATTCCTTCACGGCAAAATTCCTCAATTTCCCCCTTGAAGAGTGATATTGGATTTATAAGAATTTACTTTTTGTCCATATGCATGTCACATTGTTCTTGCGACACTGCTCTCACAATGAAGTGTCACATAGCACTCACACAACAGATATTTATCAAATAAACACTGATCATTTCAAATATAGGTAAGAGGAAGAGGAAACTTCCTTCTGGAGTTTACAGGAAATTTGAAAGTTTCCATTGGCTGGAAGTCAAATTTATTCAGTCCAAATGAAAATGTTTTCTATGATTTAAAAATTGGGGATAACAGGTTATCTATTTACAAATTGAAATAATTGAGAAAAATGCAGTGAAATGATGTAGATTCCTGACAACATTTAGGAACTTGTCTGTGAATGGGAAGGGGCCTGTTGTGGGGATGGGAGTGAGGTGCGGGGAAGGCAGCCGGACAGGGATACGAGAGCCTGGGCAGATCTGGAAACAGTCTCATTTATGGTGATACAACTGAACCATTAAGCATGACAGTACAACTGAGGGGTATCAGTATATTCAACCATTTGTCAAACTTTCCAGGACTCTCATTGCAGAAGAAACAACATGCGTATGAAGAAACAAAGTGGGTAAATTCAGCTGTAAGGACAATAAAGACATGGACACAATCATCCATTAATACTCGTATATTCCAACCACAGCCCCTCATCTGGTTACACACACACACACACACACACACACACACACACCAGGTGATCAGGCATACTGATCAGTTATGAACATTAAACTTGTTATTTTCATTCAGAAATTAGAAAATGTTCTCTATAAACTAGACTGAGCAGTAGAAATTCATCCAATGTGATCCCATTCACACATCCCTCATACATATGCATCCTCACTAAACTCTTCCTGCTGTTACTGCTAAACCAAGCGCCCCACTCCCACCCTACCTTCTCCAAACCAGGCGCACCTGCTACCCTAGGCACTCACTGCTGCTACCATGCATGTCTTGCTGAGTAATACCATTGTCAACCTCCCTGCGTGGCGTGCGTGCCATTCTCCTTCACTGGAGGAAGGAATGTTTAATTATTTTTAATCAGTGGACATGGCATCTTGCTAGACAGCAACACTTGGGGGATCCAACACCATCTGCCTTCCACCAGGCGCCAGCTGCTCTGGTGGATGTCGGCAGAATACCTTAGGACATGGCTTTCCACTGCCAGGAGAACTGCGAGCGGCTGCCACTGGGCACCGTCTCCACTGCAAAGCTGCCACTTGGACTCACTCCCTGCCATAGTTCACCTCCCACTTCTGCCACCCTCCCAGGGAGGTGCTTCACAGCCTCGGCTCCCAGAACATTTACCAAGCAACTCAGAGGCCCGCCAGGAAAAACAGGGTATCCAAATATAAATGTCACCCTGGCCACAGATCCTTCCATCCCCATTAGTCAACTTAATGGATCTGCTGACTTCGGTCCCACAGAGAACGGGCTTCTGACATCGCAGCGGGCCAACCCATGGAAAGCAAGGGTCGGCCAGCTACTACTGAGCCTTTAAAACAGTGAGAAGAGAAGGGAGAGAGATGTCTCCGGGAAAAATTCCGAGCTGTCCAGAGTGTGCAGTGCCCTTGTTAAGTGAGCTCATGACCATTCGTGCTCTGCAAGTTCTTGCCACAGACCTGTCCCTTCCACCTCCTACCCTTAAGGAGTTTCTAAAGCTCTCACAGCTGTGCCAACACTGTCACTCCCGCAAAGCACGTTTCATTTGCTGCCCCTGTTTATGGGCACAACGCGGCCCCTGTCGGGAGCACTCACCACCTCCTTTCTGAGGAGCCGCTGCACTCCCTACACTGGGAACCAAGCCCCCAAGGTTCTTTCCACCCCCGCTCTTGCTCCCAACTTTTGCCGATGAACCCAGTTAAGCAGCTCCAGCCTCAGCCTTTATTTTCATGCAAAGTGAAAGAGATCAGCGCTGGGGACTGGCTGAAGCGTAGATAAAAGCCCCAGCTGTGATTTCTCGGGGTGTCAGTTTCACCTCCAGCAGTAAAGCAAACTGTCCTTGTGCCTGGGGGAAATTACGGAGCCTCACACTTTCATCCAGAGAGGGACAAAGGGGAGGTCAGGTGCTGCATCTGACAGAAGTGGGGACGTGTGAAATGTGATTAACCCAGGAAGAAGCCAGACAGAGCCCGGCTGGGGCCTCCGCTGCCCCTGTGTGTTTCCCAGGGTCAGGAGCAGGAGGTGAGTAAACAAAAGCATTCAATAAATATTTTTCCCTTTAACCCATGTGTTAATACAGATTTTCACAGCACTGACTGAATCGATAGCATTAGCGTAAATAATGAAGGAAGTAGTGTACTCTTAAATTCTCTACATCTCTGAAAAGAGAAAGAGGCGGGTGAAGTGACAGCTGGGGGTGGCTTGGGGTGGGGGTGAAGGGTAGGGGTAAGAGGGGTGGAGGGGTGGGAGAGGTTCCAGAAAGACCATGTAGTTCCACTTTACCGGGTCCACCCGGAGCTTGGCTAAACCTGTCTGGGGCCATCAAATCAGCTCGCATAATGTTATTTCTCGGGCTAAATACAAGCCACCAGTGCCTGTAGAATTAAAGCCATCGATAGTGGAGCTCTCCTGCATTTACAGGAAGACACAAATTAAATCCCTACTGACACGCCCATCAGAGTAGGAAGTCCTCTGTCCCTTTGCAGACAGACGCCCTGTAAGAGCTCTGCATGGTAAATGAAGCTGCAAGGACATTTGTCTCTTTGTCTAAATAAGTAATGCCAATTTCATTTTCAAACAGTGTGCTTGGGCCGCATTCATTATTGCATTAGGATTTGGTTTCCGCCAAACCAACCTTCCCTGGTTCCTCTGCTTGGACAACGTGTCTCTGGTTAGAGATGTGTGCTGAAAACAGGTACTGTCTGAAATCGACTGGAGATGTATTAAATAATTACTAGAGAAGTTTCCAGTAAAAATAGAGTCAATTATCAAAAGATTAACACTTTTCTTTGTTCTGTTAAAAAGGAAAAAGGAGGGAGGCAATTTTCAAGACAGGCACTGATGCTTTAAAAGGATTCTTCACAGGTGAGTTATTTAATCCTTTGTGACTAAGGAAATCTTTGTGTGCACTGTTGGGGGGGCAGCAAAAGGGGCAAATGTACAATATTGAAAAGTCAAAATACAATATGTGACACACTGTGAACGTGTAAGTTGGAAGGCCTGTCTGGTGGTTGATACCCGGATCCAATCCTGATTACTCTCCTCCAGGTAGAATCTGCAGATATTTTCTTGAATATCCCTGAAGGATTAACATAATCAGCTATCAAGTGCCACTGTAGCTACTTCACAAAAATGTAGTTAAGGCAGCACTTATCTGGCAGTGGTGAACTCAGCTCTGAGAGAAGGCACTTCATATATTAAGGCTTTAAATAGTTTTTTAGGACCCTCTTCACTAAGCAAGAGCTGCTCTGGAGGCTGGGAGGGGTCTGGTACCCACCAGTGAGGCAGAGGCAGAGCAGTGGCAGCCAGGCGTGGGAGAGTCTCAAGTGTCTCTCCGAACAGGACTGACAGGATTGAGGAGCAGTTTGCCTCCAAATAAGCTCCCACATGATTCCCTGGAGGTTAGGGGTGGTTGAAATGCACGGAAACAGGCTTCCAGAAAAAAAAATAGCTCAAATGGGATTACCTCAGAGGACAGCTAAGAGAGTCACTAATATTGACCTCCACAATGGAGAAGTGCCTATATCCCCAAGGAAACCTGCACAGACCCAAGCCAGATTGTTCCTGATCAATACCCTCTTTTTCCGTATGACTCAACTCCAGCCAGAGACACTCTACGAGGGCTTTGTGCTAGGCAGAGGTCTCTCAAGCAGGCAAATCAATTGGCTTGTTTTAGTGGAGGAGGCTGAAAGGGCTCGTCCCTGTAAAGAAGGGTCTCTTGGAGGGGCTACCGGTCTACAAACGGGGCAAAAACAGCATAATGCCAGCTGACCTAATAACAGCTCAGCTGACCTGGATTGGTTTGGAGTGAAAAGAAGCGTGCCCCAAGGAGCAGAGAGACTGGTACTTGAACTAGCTTTAAAAGTTCTACTACTCTCCTTTCCTTCTACTCATTTTATAAGCAATATGTATTCTGTGTGATCGCCATGCATATTCTGTAATTTTTCACTTAGAAAAATAGCTTTTGCATTTCACACAGCTTCTAATTCCCAAATTAGTTCAACACCTAGCAGTGAATGTAGAAATATATACCACGCCTTTCAGAGATATACTTAAGGCTGGTATTGATTTATGCTGTATCATGATTTTAGTCTGATGGGATAATCACCCTGTCAAGTCTGTATTTATTGTTGTGGCTATTAAATCACATTAATTTCTCGGCAATTACAGAGGTAAAGCATCCACAAACTCCAACAGTGACAGAATTCCATTTTCCTCCCTAAATAAACTCTATACTAAGATAGCCATGTCCTAGTTTTTTAATGGCATTTCACCATTTTTTTTCCTTTTGCATATCTTACAGAAGCATTAAGCCCACAGTTGCAGCCAGCACTCTGCCATAGATTTGAATTCTGGTAGAAAAGCCCTTGAGGGAGAAGAAGCCCCTTGGAGCCAGTGCTAATGGCAGCACAGCACAGAAGCAAATTGCCCATCAAGTGGTCCAACTTAGTGCCACAGAAGCATTTACAGGGAAAAAGGAGTCGGTAGAAAGTAGCAATCCTCCAGTACTGGCTGCCCTTGATTTAGGTTGCTTCCCATGGACTCATACAAGAATGTGGATTCTCTCCAGTGCTCTGGGAGTTTGTGATAACACTATGCAGACCCAACTTGCCTTAAGACTTCCACGTGCAGCGTTAAGGGGAAAATGCGGGCTGTGCAGGAAAGGAATGCTTACTTACATTGGGGTGTGAGTTGATAGGATCATCTTGAAGATGTACATGAGGCCCACACCAAATTTACACTAGATACGAAAGTTGATTTCACTGTTTGGGGGCCTCAAGCCTAGCAGGTGGCCCACAAGACCCTGCAGGTCCTTTGTGCCTGGCACAGGCTTCCTCTGAGGGAGCAAATCTCTTTTGCTTCCACTCAGGCCCAGCTCCATCACACTTACTAAGACCTGGTACCTAAGTATTTTGGCTCCCAACGAGAAATTTCAGGGTTGAAGGTTGCTGACCCTCTCTGATCATTTAAAAAAAGATTCTGCTTGCTTTGTATTTTTAATAAAGGGTCAGAAAGAATTTCATCCATACTGGCTCACCCTCCTTTCTGCCTTGCACATTGATTTTGGTCGTCAATCTGGGGCAGGCTTTTAGCTTGATTGAAGCCCATGTCCATGACCAAAAGACTTATTTATATGCCTCTGGGGTTCTTCATTTTTATGAATGCCAAATACCTTTCATCTACAGCCATATCTTAGCTGATGTCCCCTAGCCAATGAGGAAACAGAGAATAACGAGCAACAGGAAGAATGCACAAGCGTTGCTGAAAACTCTAATTGTTATTGGTTCATTTTAAACTAGTGAACTGGATCGCGCTCAGTGATGCACTAAGTTTTAACGCTGGAAGAAATGATAATAAGCAAAATATAAAATGTAGATGCCTCCACCGTAACAACATTAAAACAGTCCTAGAAATGAAAAAGGCAAGGAAACAAAACAAAACACACAAAAGAAAAAACCTCATTGGCCCATCATGGGTTTTATGAAAGAGAAAATGAATAGCTGGTACCTCATGCATCCAGCTCCTAATTTAAATGGTTGCTCTTTAGTATCTCTCTTTTCTTTTAAAAACACGGTATACCTGAACTGTGGAATAGATGCTTTTGTTCTGCCTTCCGTGACACTGAGGGAAGCACCAGAATGATGTTCGCTTGAAGAGGTGTGCATTTCCCATCTTGATAGTAAACTGCTTTTCCCTGAACAGCACCCGGCAGGCCCTCAACACCCCACCCCCTCCGCCCCCTAATCTGCTTTACCCAGACATTTCCTCCAGCTCACCTTTTCATTTCCACTTCTCACCTCATCAAGCTTCCCATACTCATTTTTACAGTGTGCCCTAGCAAAATGGGCTTTTCTTCCCTTTATAATTTTCTAATAAATGTATTACTGAGCTGTCTGAGTAGAAAAGCCCTAAAACAGACTTCACCAATATGCTTCATAGACTTGGTGTAACTTTTTATTTCTCTCACCTTTGTATCATATCGGGAATCTGCTTAGAGCCAATTTCCCCCATGATGTGCTCAGGCCCCACCTGCCCTCCCCCAAACCCAATTACTTTAAATTGTTGACTGTAGAGACCGTGGAAGGTGTTTGTCAATTACTCTTCCTTTCCCGCCTCTACTCCCAGTTCTGGCTCTGAAATTGGACTCTTTTTCCCTAACCTCTTGGGAGTGATATGGTCCTTCCTTTACTTAATAATTTTTCCCCTCTGTGGCTAAAAGCAGATTGTAATGCACTGGCATGCTGTCTCTCTTCCTCTTTCTCTCACCTAGTTTTACATTTTCGCCACCTGTTTTTCTTGGTACTCAAGTTCTCCAGGAATTCCATGAAACTTTCACTCAAGCTGTTCGAGTGTGTATTCCTTCAGTCTGCCAAAAGGCCCTCTCTAGGTGGCTTTTCCCCAAGTCCCCAAGTACTTTTGCTAACAAAACTGCTGAACAGGAGCTAATTTATCACTCTGTTATCACTATATTAGGGCATGAGAGAGCCATACCTAGAATGAATTATGGATCCATCCAGTGTCCCATGCATCCTGTATGTCAAGGTAAGCAAATGCTGTGTTGTGTTAACTGTCAGCCTGGGAAACAGCTGACATTTGTTATTTTAATTAATAGTTTACTTTGCTGAAATAAGCTTCTATGAGAAGCTATGACTTTTTATTAAATCTTCACTGCAGCATTGTTTTCCCCAGATTGGGAGACAAAAGCTCATTTTCAAAACTGCTTTATCCTGCAAGGTCACACTCAACAGCTTGCGTGCACATGTCAGGGAAACATCTGCTCCTGTGCCACAGATATAAGTAAAATTTGCTTTATTTTGAAATTTAAATGTACTTTTACTTAGAGAAAAATGATGAGTCAGTCATTAAAGAATCATTAAGTGATGTTGATTAGGAAAGACTTTTTAACCAGCCGTTCTGTCTCACAACCGACAATGAAATTTCTCTGACCTCAGCATTCTGCTTAGACGTCGCAGGGAACTGTGGTCACTGGCACATCTGGATCTGGACCAACTTGTCTCTTCATTAATGCAAATCATTATTATGTAATTACTCAGCCTGCAATGTAGAGATCATTGATTGCTTTTGCCCAGTAGCAGTATTTTTAAGTCACCGATGACAAAGAGAACTTTCAGAATAATCCAAACTACAAATTAACTCCCATTCAAGAAAGGCAAACCAACTTAAAATGTTCCAACACTAAATTCCGTTCTGAGATTTTCTCTTTGCTTGGAATAAATTAACTGGGGAAGTTGGTTCCGTCATGTTGTTTTAATTACTTTTGGTAACGCATTTTGCTCATCACATTTGCAGGACAATAACACATTAGTGCTGTTTCCCCAAATGGACGTGTTTTGCCCCAACCCATGTTCCAGAATCATGACCCATCTCCCAGGGGAATTAGATACTTTTCTGAGAATTCCAGTAACTGCTTCAGAAAGAGATATCCTAATGTCTCATGTTCTTTTGATGTTGGTGGGTCTTGTTTCTGACAGCCCTGTAGAATGACCTTTGGCCTAGGACTCCTGGGACTAACAAGATTGAACAGCCAGTGTTCCTTCTGGAGGTGCCAGGGGAGGGTTATCTTCTTGTATTTTCCATCTTCTAGAAGCTTCTCACTTCCTCCATTTTCAAAGCCAAAGGACTCGGACCTGCCCATCATGCCACCATTTCTGTGCTTCTGTGCACCCTGAGAAAGTTCTCTGTTTGGAAAAATTAACAGGATCAAACTGAGCCCCCCTCTGTAAGCCAGGATGTCATCTCAAGGTCCTTAACCTTAATCACATTTGTAAATCCCTTTGGTCAAGTAAAGTAACATATTCCTAGGTTCCAAGATTAGTGTGTGCACATCTTTGCAGGCCATTCTCCTATCCACCCAGGGTCTTTTTAGCTTATCTTCCTTCTCTCTTATTTGACATAACTCCCCACCTCTACCTACAACTGCATGTTTGGCTCAGACACTTGGAAGCCTCTTTATGTGCTTGGAAGGGGCGTTGGGGAACAGCCGGCTCCTGTGATCTGGTTCCTGGTTGTGAAAGCAGCAGCATGGGGACTGTATCCCAGACAATGTACATCCCTCCGACCTCAGTTTTCTTACCTCTAAAATGGAAACCTTCACCTCTAAAGTTATAGGCTTGCTCTAAAATACTAGGATTCTAAGGAAAGAGTATGAGAGTCTCCCTAATTCCCCTAAGGGAGGAGAATGAGGGAGCAAAGTGGGCTGGCAATTTCTGGGCACTGACACTGGCAGACGGATGCCAGCCATGTATTGGCCCCTCTCTCCCAGGGGAAACACTGAGGGCTTTTGGTTCAAGTTCTCTCCGTCCTCCTCTGACTGGCTTCCAAGTGGAATTTGAACCACCACTCACCCATTCCTGCAGTGTAGGTGGGTAAAGAAGCCCTTTCTCCTGCAAAGCTGTTCACAGTTTTAAGTGGCTGTGAGAAGTCTTCCAGGAGTGAAATCCTGTTCTCCAGGGTTCATGTGTGAAATTAAATGGCCTCCTCAGAGGCCATTATTGCAAGGGAAGGACTCAGAGAAAAGGAGATAGAATGGAGTGAAGCAAGGTCAGCTGGCTTAGCCAGGTCCTCTCTCTCTCTCTTCTTTTTTTAAGGAAAGAACCAACAATGAAAACATATCTAATTCCATGCAGGATTTTTGGACTCATCCCAAAACTCAATACTACTCTTTCTTTGCTTTGAGACCAGGTGATTTCTCTAAGTTTCAGGCCAAGCATACTTTTACCTTTGGGCCTTTTGAAGAACTGCTTGGCCATGAAATTTGGTGAGGGTAATTTGAAACCATCAGTATAGCTGCACGTTGTGGGGTTCCTGTGTGGAGGCAAGACCCACAGCTCTCACCAGCCCTTCCTACCAGGGCTTTCTTGCCCATTGAAAAGCACCTCAGCATCGGTTTCTCTGCAGGTTATGTTCCTATATCCCTTGAGTGTGTGTGGATGTTCAGGAAGTAAGTACCGGAAAAAAAAGAAAACCTTGCTTTTCTCCCTGAGCTATGATAAGTTTCACACATATTTTTATGTGTTAGGGACTTGCATTTTTTTAGTGTCAGGCTTCATTTCAGAAGGCACTGGGGTTGGCTCTGTGATGATTTATTTGTGTGGAAGAGGAAGGTTATTGGTTTTTCCTCATTTATATGTAGGGCCCCTCACAGAGAAATATTTTTAGAAACATTTTTATTTCTCTTCATATTTTTTCCTAGTTACGATGTATTTGCTTGCATTTGGGGCCGGCTGCCTGTATCCCTTGGTGTGCAAAGTTAGAAAAGAAATATTTAAACGATAGAAGCTTTGTGATCCCCGTCACAAGATCAGGTTCATAGATCTCATCTGATTAATAATGGAGGGGCCCGAGCTTCTTTCTGAGGTGGTGAGGCTTTCACAGATCCTAAGGCTGAACACTGAGGCTGAACGGCCTGAATTCCTCACTGCAGTATTCTACCCTCACACATTCATGGATAAACTGCACTGTTGACAGGTCTGATTTCCTTTCTGCCACAGTCAGCTCTATTATCCTGCCTCAGGCTTGAACCTGCAGCAGCTGAATCTTGTATTTGCCCTGCCTGAGGCCTTAACCTGCTGCTCTTCCCTTCATCCTTTATTTGTTCCTTCCTTGTGCCACCTGTTTGTCTCATCTGGCACTGTAAGAAGACATTCCTGCATCTCCTTATTCCACCCCTAGTATACATTAAAAAAAAATCCCAAGTGGCTTTCTTTCACCTTGTGCGTGTGCTTGAATCTGCCCCTGCAGCTGTCGAGTCAGGCACATGAATTCCAAAGCCAATTTCCATTTGTTTCAAGAGAACAAACCTCACTGAAAAATGTCAGAAAGGCACATGAGTACTCTGTACATACTTAAAAGGAAAATTAACAAGCAGAAATGGTGATGTGTCCAGCACCAATGACACCAAAGCCAAAGGCCGTAGTAAAATCTCTTTAAGTAGAGACTTGAAGCACCTCTTTTGTGGAGGCCAACAGATGCTATCCTGCCACTTTCTAAAAGTACAGCTTGTTATAAAATTGTGTCCTGTAATCTGGTTGCCTTTGCTATATGAGGCTACCAAGCACTTGAAATGTGGATGGTCCAAGCTGAGATGTGTTGTGATGATGAAAACATACCAGATTTTTTTTAAGATTTACTAGATGAATGTGAACTATCTCATTAATCAATTTTTCATGATTACATGAGAAATGAAAACATTTTGGACATATTGAGTTCAATAGGAAAGGCTACTTAAAGTTAATTTCACCAGTTTCTTTTGACTTTTTTCATCATGACTAAAAGAAAATTCAGAATAACATAGCTCCAATTACATTTCTATTGGACACTGCTGTTCTAGAAGTTGGTTAAGAGATGGCACTTGAGATTTTTGTTTTTCTACCACTCCAAAATACTGAAATTGAATAATATATTATTCTTTAGTTTTTCTTCAATATATTTGACATAACACTCGGTTACTGGAAGCAGTTTTTATAAACCGTAGACACATTATTTTTAATGAACTTAGTTAATCTCTTTTTTTGAAAAACTGCTTTCCATTTTTATAGACTGACTTTTCCTTAATAAAGTCTGGTTTCTTTTCTTCATATGCTGCCTTTCCATCCAGCAAGCTCCATCTGTTCTGAGATTAATTTAACATTTGTGAGGCACTCCCAGTTTGTACAAGAACTTACAGCATACTCCCTGCCCTCGAGGAGAACATACTCCTAGTGAACAAAAACTGAGAAAGATGAAAATCCTGAGAAGAAAACTGAGAAAGTCAAACTTCCACTGTACATAGAATTTTTTAAAAGATTTTATTTATTTATTTATTTATTTATTTATTTATTTATTTATTTATTTATTTTTAGAGAGGGGAGGGAGGGAGAAAGAGAGAGAAACATCAATGTGTGGTTGCTGGGGGCCGTGGCCTGCAACCCAGGCATGTGCCCTGACTGGGAGTCGAACCTGCGATACTTTGGTTTGCAGCCCACACTCAATCCACTGAGCTACGCCAGCCAGGGCTTTGTACATAGAACTTTAAGAGACCAAGTTTTAAGTATCAAAAGGAAGAAAGGGGTGTGTGGTATGGATTATATTTTCATCATATTTTGTGCATGTTTTGGGGTAGTGATTTTTATAACAAAGTTTAACCCAAAGGAACACTATGGCTTCACTGCTGAGCATGAAAGCCTATTGACACAAATCACAGATTTGTGAGATCCCAAAAGATATTTTCCAGGATTTGAAAAATATTACTCGTGAGCATTTATATAGCACTTACTATGTACTACTAAATTCTCCACATTTGAGAGCTCATATAATACTCAAATGAATTCTATGATGCAGAAACGTCATAGAGAGGCTGAGTAAACTGTGCAGGGTCACACAGCTAATGGCATGTACAGAGTCACAGTCAAGCACTCTGTCTGCAAAGGCTAGTTCTTAACCCTGCCCCAGACTGTGTCATTGCCGTGATATAGATGGTTTGTCATGACAGCTCCATCCTTGTTTTTGTCTGATAAACTTTGAAGTCCACCTGAAATGTGAGG